AGGATATTGGGCTCTAGGAAGTTTTTTCTTTTTCTTTCTTTCTTGTAATATCTTTGTTGGTAATGTCTTTGTCATAGAATGAGGACAGGAAAATTGTCTGGAAGTTTGTGTAGAATTGGCATTATTTCTCTGTTATATATCCAGGGGTGTTCCCTAGTGAAGTCATCCACACCTGGAGTTTTCTTTGTGGGAAGGTTTTTAACTATAACATAAATGCATTTCACAGATACCAGACTATTCAGGTTATCTATTAATATTTCCTCTGGAGCAAGCGGTGGTAATTTGGGTCTTTCAAGTAATTTGTCCATTTCATCTAACCTGTCAAATTTATTGGCATAAAGGTGTTCATAATATTCCCTTTTAATATCAGTATGACTAGTCTATATGTCACCTCTCTCATTTGTGATAATGCTACTTTGTGTCTTCTCTTCTTTCCTGATCAGTCTGGCTAGTGGTTTTCCAGTTTTATTAAGTTTCATTGTACCTGGCCTCTTCATGTAATTTGAAGCTCTGTTATTAGGTACATAATCATCTAGAATTTTGTTTTCTTGAAGAGTTGACCACTTTATCATTAAGAAATTATCATCTGTGCCCTCATAATGTTTTGCTCTGAAATCTACATTGTTTGATATTAATAGAGTCACTCCAGCTTCCTTTTGATCAATGTTAGGATGGTATATCTTTATCCTTGTACCTTAACCTGTGAACCTAAAGTCTGTTTGTTGTAGGCAACATATTAGTTGAATCTTGCTGCATTTTAAATCCAATCTGATTAGATTTCTTTTGACTGAAATGATTAGACCACTTACATAACATTAGGAAATGTGGTTATTGAGATAGTTAGGTTTAAGTCTGTCCTCTATTTAATTTTTATTTATCTCATTAGTCTTTGTTTTCTTTTCTTTTCCTGTGGTCCTGTGAGCTTGAGTTTTAAACCAAGAGCTCTGTAGACCCTGGCATCTGTCTGGCTGACTGGCCCTTATGCAGCTACAGCCTGGTGTGTTCATTGCTGGCCACTGTCCCTCCATAGTCCATGATTCCGATGCTTCAGAGCGGGCAGGGGCTGTATGGACTCAACGTCCTCACGTACTTGTGTCAGGCCCAGGAAAGGGAGCAGCAGGCGAGTCCTCTCTGTAAGTTCTGCCACAGATACGTCTGGATTTCGCCCCCATTCCTTTTCTCTCTGTGTAAGTATTTGGTATTCACTTAATTGTAAAGTATGTGTGCTCAATTAGAGACACAGTTGTCCTTTGGTATACGTGGGGGGGGGGGTTGATTCCAGGACCCCTGCATGTACTCAAATCTGTGCATACTCAAGTCCTGTAGTTGGCTCTTAGGAACCTGCAGATATAAAAGTTGGCCCCTCATATATGTTGGTTTTGCATCCCATGAATACTGTATTTTCAATCCACGTTTGGGTGAAAAAAATCTGCATTAAGTGGACCCTTGTGGTCCAAACACGTGTTGCTCAAGGGTCAACTGTAGTTTCCACCTAAGAAATGGATTGTGTGCCAAAATTGTTTAATAAGCCATGTGTTGTGGACTGCATGCTTGTATCCCCACAAAATTCACATGGTGAATGGTGAAGCGCTAACCCTGGTGTAAATGTATCTAGAGACAGGGCCTTTACAGAAGTAATTAAGGTTAAATGTAGTCATAAGAGTGCAGCCCTGATCCAGTAAGAGTAGTGTCTTTTTTGTTTTTTTAAGAGACATGGTCTTGCTCTTTGACCCAGGCTAGGGTGCAGTGGCATGATCATACCTCACAGCAACCTTAAATTCCTGGGCTTAAGCGATCCTCCTGCTTCAGCCTCTCGGGTAGCTGGGACTACAGGTGCACACCATCATGCTTGGCTATTTTATTTTTTTATTTTTTGTGAAGACAGGATCTTATTGTGTTGCTCAGGGTGGTCTCAAACTCCTGCCTTCAAGTGACCCTCCCACCTCAGCCTCCTAAATTGCTAGGATTACAGGCATGGGCCACCATGCCTGGCCACAGCAATCTTTCTTTGAGCACACAGGGGTTGTGTGGGCACAGGATTGAGAAGGAGGCTGCCTACAACCAAAAGGCCTCAGAATGAAACCTACCTTGCAGGCACCTTGATCTCAAACTTTTCAGCCTCCCAAACTGTGAAAAATAAATTTCTGTTGTTTAAGTCACCCAGTCTATGATATTTTGTATGGCAGCCCATACTGACTATGATGACATTTGTTTTCCCAAAGAAACAACATAATAGATCAAGGCTGGGCTCCCAGGCTAGTGTACAAAACTATTTATGACCTGGAGATGTAGTGGTAGTATAGCATAACTTCAGTTATTCAGAATCCTTGGGGAATACTTAAGTTCGTATTGCCAAGTTCTACCAGGTCACAGAGAATTGACCAGCTCTTTAATAAGATGCACTTTTTAGGAAATTGAAGCTGTTCAGTCTGGAGACGAAGTGCATATATCACCATGGACACCCTGAAGAGCAGTTGGACTATTGGGAGCAGCTAAGGACAAAATGATGGCAGAAAGCTGGATCTGTGGCTTGGCTGCCTGGGCCCTGCAGGAGGAGCTGGTATTGCCTCAGGTGACACTGCCCATGCTGTCCTAGAAGCAGCCTGGGCTGGGGCAGGGTCCTTTCCATCCCAGAAATCCTGCAAGCAGAGCCAACAAGCACCCATCGCAGGCTTCATCTGCCCAAAAGGAGAGTCTGACTTCATCACCACAGTTCATCGTGCACAAGCTGTGCTCAGTGATGACTGTTCTGGAAGGTGCAGGGCTATCAAAGACAAAAGTCCCTGCCCTCAGGAAGCTTAAAGTCAAGTGTAACAAATAAGATACACACGAGAACCCTCTGTGAGGGGCTGAGATCTCTGGGGGTCTTGTGAGCAGTCGACCCCGACTGCACAACAGAAGCCAGAAGAGGGGAGACCCTCAGGCTAGAAGGTCAAGAACGGATCCTGGCGGGGCTGGCATACTATGCTCTGGCAGTGAAGTCTGAAGCAGGGAGAGGTGGGAGAGGCAGGCCACTGAGAGCCTTGGATTCTGAGACAGGAGGTTGAGCGATTATGCTGGGGGTTCTGGAGGGCTGCTGGGTATTTCTGAGCAGAAGATGAGGCTGGGAGAGCAACGTGCAGAATCTCCGTGCAGGGTGGGGGCTTGACCATACCGTCACTGTCCCATCCTCCATCTGTATTGACCAACACAGCAACTGAGAGCTGCTTCCAGAGGGCTGTTCTCATGTGCAAGGAGGACCCAGCTGCTCCCAGGACAGAGTGTGCTGGACTCAGCTACTCAAGTCTGGGGGGAGGGCTGCTCACCGGCTCCTGCTCTGAAGACTGACGCGGGCGAGCTCTTAGCTGTGTTGCGGTGTGAGCAAGGGTTCAATCTATCCAGCTGTGCCCTCTTAACCTGTCCCCCTCACCCCTGCCAAAACTCACCCCACGGTAAGGGGATCTTGGTGCCGGGTGCCGGGGAACTCTAGGAGGAACTGTTTGCCCTCTCAGGTGCTTGCTTCTAAGGGCTACCACGACCACCTAAGAGCCACTGCTGGGTTTCCAAACTTCAGCCATCTGCCCTTGCAATTGTAACTGTTCGCTCGTGTACTATTTTTACCACTTTACCAACATTTGCCACTACTCTACCACTAATGCTTATCATTAGCACCTGCACTATTAACTTGCTTAAAGAGAATGACTTAAATAAATTTTGCTGTTTGAAAAGGCAAACTGCATTATTATAGTCAGTAGAAAATCAGTAACATAAGCCACAAACAGGTGACAAAAAATCAACAACAAAACCACACATTACTAACATTGTGCTGCACATGGCTCCCGCTCAGGCTTGGACGAGGCCTGCTCTGCTTGTCACCCAGAAGAGAGGCAGGGGCCTGAAGCCACCTGCACAGGCCCACATGGGCAGCCCCCAGGGACACTCCCAAGGGGAAGCAACGTGGATGTGCCCTGAAGACTCATGTCTAAGACGGGGAGCCTGCACTGCTCCATCAGCCAGCTGGATGGGCGTTAAATCTCAGAAGCTGAGCATTTTGTCCTGATGGATTTAAGTGGCATTGTGGGATGTCTGCAACTGTAACGGCATGGCAGCATCTGTAGTCTCTAGCAGTGATGACGCCTAGGTGCCACTAACCTAGTCCACATCCGTCACTGGAGGAAATGCTAAACTGCGGTTAAGAGATTAATGAAAATGAAGATGCAGTTTCTCCCTCTGTGATACATGGACCACGCCTGAATTCTACCCCTGACCTCTGGATTCCAGTGTTAAGGCCCCTATTCCTGCTGACCAGGCCAGGGAGTGAGGACTTTACCATTCCATGTTTCCTTGGTGAAGCCACTCAGCGGTTTCTCGTTTTACATGCTCTGTTTTAGACACCTCCCACCACAGGCAGTGAGCCCTTCGAGGAGCTGGTGGTCCTGTTCTGCCACCCCCATAGCCAGAGGTCTCAGACCCCAGACTGGCCGGGGCCTTCCCTGCCAGTGCATGTGAATGTTGAAAGGAGGGTCATTTTAGAACTCCGTGGATGCCGGCCCTGTGCCCTGCGGGGGCACTAGTAAGTGACTTCAGCCTCCAAGGCCACACTACATGGAGCTGTGTGAGCAAAGGCCAGGAGTCACCCAGGGACCCCAAGTCTGTGCTGGCTGGGGTGGTGAGGGCTTGGAGATCGGCCTCCCAGGGTCTGCGCCTCCAGAGCCCTACAGAGAATGGGGCTGCCCTGGGCATGCCAGGTTCCTGGGAATGTCCCCTACCCCATCACATCCAAGTCACCTGCCTGTCTGAGGGCTTCCAGAAAGGAGAAGGAGTTTGAAAATCCAAAGTCCTTTCTCCCCCAAAATATTTTTTATTCTTGCATTACATTTGTGTTTCCAATTGTGAATAAAAAATGCTTAGAAAGTGGTTACAAAACAGCGTGAACTGGACAGGAGGAGCAGGCTGGCCCTGAGGGTCCTGTCACTTCTCCGCTTTGACAGCGTGACACGGGGCCTGGCGTCTGGGCGGGGTCAGTCGGGCTTCTCACTCTCAGGATCTGGAAAACAAAACCGCCACAGCCCATTACAGGCCCGCCGCGGCCCTCCCACAGGCTCCGAAACAAGGGAGGATGGGCGAGGTGAGGCCGGGCCCGCCGGGCCCCAGGCACTGTGCGGACAGTCCTGACCGCGGCACAGCCTGCAGCCTCCACCATCCGGGCCATCCTCCTACACTGAACGAACGCCTGAAACCCAGACAGCCCCGCAGCGCCTGCACGGCTCGGAGGTGCTTGGGAGCCAGCTGTGCTCCGCACCTGAAACGCAGCTGAGGGGTCTGCTGGTTCTGGGATGAGTGTCCCTCCTCCCTCCATGTGGGAGCAGGAAGCCTGATGCTGCAGCTCTGTGGGGAGGTGGCACAGCAGCCAAGGCAGCCGCCCTAGCGAAGCCAGCAGGAGACACCTAGACCCTTGGCCTGGGCAGGGTCAGGCCTGCGATTGGCATACAGGAGGAAAAGCCACTTCACTAGAGGCCATCGTGGGGGCCGGGGAGCTGGCCAGGACCGTGTGCTACATCTCCACAGGGCAGGTCCTCTCCCCAACCGCCACCTTCCCTAAGGCCCCTGTGCCTGCCAGGAAAGCCAGCACTCCTCACGTGACCCGTGTGACCTCAGCCCCAAGTCCTCCTCTTGATAAGCCCAGGAGTCTGAGAGCCCGACAGGGGAACCCCCACCTCCCTGAAGCTAGGCCCACCTGGAGCAAAGCAGGTGGTTCCAGGAACCAGAGCAAATTATGAAAATTGAGCTTCCCGGGAGACAGCTCCCGCGTGGACAGGGGCTGGACATGGTGTTTCACTGACAATGAAACCCTTTCTTCCACTGTGGGCAGAGCCCACTGCACTGGCTAGATGACATTCTGGTGCAGAGTGGTTGGAGGTCCAGCCAACAGCCTGACTCAGGCCAGGAGCCAGCAGAGCGTGGCTGTGCTCGGGGGCCAGGCCACACCCAGCGGGTGCAGTGCTGGGGGCCAGGCAGCCCCGCTGATGCCCTGCTCTCAGTCCGCCATGCCTGGTGCAGCCCAGCCTGTCACTCGACACCCCCACCCCCTCAGCGCCCCCCTCCAGAGGTGTGGGCGAAGCTGAGCCCAGAACAGGCCTGCTCGGGCCTCCCTGATCCTGCCCTCCCTGCAAGCCTGGCCAGCTTGGCTTTCACGTGGGCAGAGGGTAAGAAAAAGATGTTGTTTCACACTGTTTTCGAGCAAAAATGTTTATTTTTCTCCTTCATATGTACAATCTCTTGGGGATTCCGTGCCACTGATGGTCCGGTACGAGGAAAGGCCTAACAGGGAAGAGGGGAAACGGGCGAGAGCAGCCTCTATTTCACTCAAGAAACAGGGCAAGGGGCCCGCTATGGAGAACAGGAATCTCTTACGACAGCATCGTGCCCTGGCAGAAGATTCTGCGTAATCACCTAGAAAATTCAATTCTAACTGAATTGATGGAATAATATATTTAAACCAAAATAATTTAGCCCATTCTAATAAGTACAGAAACTATTCAGTTCACAGCTGGGCAGCCCCAGGCAGCCTGTTTTCCAGCGGGAAGTGGAACACATCTGCCAGTGAAGCCATCCCGGGGCCTTCGCCTCCCACTGTGGAGCTGTGCTGTGTTGGGGACGAGTCCCATCGAAACCTCCAGGAGAACGATCCTGCCCCCAGCAGACCAACCTTAGGGGTGGCCAGGAGAGCGGTCGCGTGCCAGGGCCGGGCGGAACCACAGGCCTCCATGAAAGTCATGGAACAGGAAGGGAAGCGGGCAGGACAGGACAGTGGCCAGGGCCCCAAGGAAGGGGCCGTGCCGTCTCTGCAGGGGGCGCTGGAGTTTCTGCGCCCAGCACACCCTTATGGCGTTCACAGCAGCCCGCCAGCTGCAGCAGCGTGTTTGCTCATCTAGCGTTTGCAGCCAAACAAAGCTGCTGGCATTCCTTATTGAGACCAACTGCTGCACATATGCCCTGTCCAAGCGTCCGTCTGTCATCTCTCAGTCCCTGAATGAGCCCTGGGAGACAGTGCTCTACTGAGGACAAAGCAGGGCTCACGTAGCATCTGAAGTGCTTCAATATTTAAGGTTGCTAATTCATTTTTTTGAAAGGCATTTACAACAGAAAACCAAGATCGAAATTCAGCTTCTGATTTGTAAACCATTCATATTTCTGCAAATTAAAACAGTGAATAAGGATATCAACACACAAGCCAATTGTAAATGAAATACACCTTTTCAGATAAATGATTTTTTAAACATCTTTTCGTCAGGGAACGGAAAAGCTGGAATTCAAGGCACTGTGCTTCTGCAGGGTGATGACAAGGTTCTACCCGTCAACTCAAGTACAGGAAGTGAGTGTGAAGACTGCGTGGACCCTGGGAACCTAAGAGCGAACGGGTCTGAAGCCACAGAGGAAGCCAGTCGCGCTGCCCACATGCTGCCCGCCTCTCGGCTGGGCACCGTGCCCACACAGGTTGGGGAGGGAGTCAGAGGCCAAACCACAAGGGGCAGGGCAGAAGGCTACATGATTTGCAGCTGGGGCCCGGGCGTGCTCACTGATGGCGGCCGCAAGAATGCAGGCAGCACTGGCACCCGGGCGGGGCTCCAGCTGCCCTGTGTTTCTGGCTGACCCACCTGGGCTTCCCAGGACCCCCAGGATGCTGGGGATGGGAGCAGGCCTCCGAACTGACCCAGAGGCCGCGCACAGTGTGGGGCTGGGAGGCTGGAAAGGGCAGTACCTGGTGTGGGCACGGGCAGGGCCGGGGCGGCTCCAGGAATGACTGTGGAAGACAGAGGGCTGGGCGCCGGGGCCAGACGCGGCATCCCCACTCCTGCTTGAGGTGTGGTCATCTACGAGACACAAAGACAAGAAGGTACACTCGGCTGCAATCAGCTGGCCTCCCCTAGTGGCCCCTGGAGTCACCATAGTTTCTCCACCCTCAGGAGACAGTGGTCCTGGGACCTGCCATTGATGGGCACCTCTAAGGGCTGATACCCAAATGATGGTGCAAGACAGAAAGCATTGCCCTCCCTCACTTGCTTCCCAAAGCTTCGGCCTGGCCACCTTAGGGGCCACACACCTGGGCTGTCCACAGGCCAAAATGGGCCTTGAAGCAGGACCTGAGGGGCCTGGCCCCTGAGGGCACATAAGTGGCCCCACACCCCTCCACCCAGCCAACAGGAAGGCCTTCTGCTTGCCTGGGCGGTGCCATTACGGGAGCTGGGAACAGCCCAGGAGCTGGGCGGAGCAGGTGCCCCAGCGCCTGGGCAGAGCCAGAGTGCAGGGAGGCCATGGCAGGGCAGCGCCTGCTCTCCAGCCAGCCGAGGGGCGACAACCGCCGCAAGACCAGCACGCTCTGATACGGGAACCTGACGAGGCTGCTGCAAGAAAGATCCCAGACCAACAGCCTTTGAATCCCCTCGGCAAGATGCTGGCAACTCAAATCCAGCAACTATAAAAAAGATAAAACATCACAACCAAGTGGTGTTTGCCACAGGAAGGCAAGGCTGCTGTCCTGCTGGGAATCACTTCGCTCCACAGACGCAGAGAGGGTGCTGGGCCACTTCCACGTCCCTGCATGGAAAGCTTGTTCAGCAGCCAGCGGCCGGAAGAGAGCCCCCGGCACCTGCAAAGGGCTTCTGCAGAATGGCAGCTAAGCCCCTGCTGTGGGTGAAATGACAAGTGCTCCCCCAAGGCTCCTCCTCGCTTCTAGTCAACATTTCAAGGAAAGAAGACAAATAAAAGGTACAGACTGGAAAGGGAAAAGGAAAACTGTCCTTATTTGAGGATGACGGGACTATGCACGGAGAAAACCCACAAGAATGGACAAATCAATTGCTAACAGCAAATAAACTAACAGCAAATTTAGCAAGATTGCAGGATACAAGGTATAAAAGCCTACCGTATTTTTATATACTAGCAACATACGACTGGAAAATGAAATTTAAATTTATAACAGCATTCCAAAACATCAACTACTTAAGAGATAAATTTAATGAAAGACGTATAACATCTTTACATTGAAGAGAAATAAAAAAGATGTAAATAAATGGAGAGATACCACGTTCATAGCAACACTCAATATTGTTAACATGTCCAATTTCACTCAGTTAATCAACTCCCAGTAGACTTAATAAACTCCCAGTAGAAATCCCAGTGAGTTATTCTGTAGAAAGTGACAGGCTGTTCCTAAAACATACATGCAAATATTAAGGACCCCCCCAAAATCAAGAAATTATTGAAGAGGATCAACACTGGAGGTCTTAACCTAACAAATATTAAATTTACTATAAATCTTCAGCCAATAGGAGAGTGAGGTATTGCCATAAGGATAAGGGCATGGCTAAAGGGAACAAAATAGCAAATTCAGAAATGGACCTACACATATGTGGTCACTTGACCAATATGCAATTCAATGTGGAAAGGAAGGTGCTGGAACCACCAGATATGCAGATAGGAAAAAAGACAAATTGGCCTCTACATCAAACTATATACAAAAGTGAATTTGAGATGGCTCACAGGATTGAATGCAATAGCTAAAACTATGATGCTTTTAGGAAAAATAAAATTAAAACTTCTCCCATTTCAGTTTTACCATTAAGAAAACAAGCCACAGATTGGTAGAACATGTCCATTATGCATATACGAGGGGACTTCAAAATTTTTTGCACCAAAATAAACTCATACTAACTTGTTATAATATGTCTGAACAGGATCTAGTTTGAAGCACTAAAAAGGATAAGACGTCAGTTTGAAAAGTAACACGAATTCTGCTGAAGCTGGAGCAAGAACAAAACATCAAATTTATGGTGAAGCTTGGGTGGAAGAACAGCGCAATCAGTGATGCATTATGAAAAGCTGATGTGGACAATGCCCCAAAGAAATCAAAAGTTTACAAATGGATGACTTGTTTTAAGAAGGGACAAGATGAGGATGAAGATGAAGCCCATAGTGGCAGACCATGCATGTTAATTTGTGAGGAAAAATTAACCTGTTCACATCCCCATTGAAGAGGACCAACGATTAACAGTAGAGACGACAGCCAGCACCACGGACGTCTCAGCTGGTTCAGTGCACACAATTCTGACTGGAAAATTAAGAGCTGAGCAAACTTTCCACTTGATGGCTGCCAAAAACCACTGCACCCAGATCAGCGGCAGACAAGAGCAGAGATTTTGATGGAAATGTTAAACAAGTGGGATCAAGGTCCTGAAGTATTTCTTTGAAGAACTGTAACGGGACATAAAACATGTCTTTCTGAGTATGACCTTGAAGGCAAAGCACAGTCAAGGCAATGGCTCCCAGGAGGGTGAAGTGTCCAGTCAGAGCAAAAGTGGACCAGTCAAGTGCAAAAGTCATGGCGACAATTTTTTGGGTGTTCAAGGCATTTTGCTTGTTGACTTACTGAAGGGCCAAAGAACAATAAAATATGTTTATTATGAGAATGATTTGAGAAAGTTAATCCAGGAAAGCTTCACCAGAGAGTCCTTCTCCACCACAACAACGCTCTTGCTCATTTCTCTCATGAAACAGGGCAATTTTGCAAGATTCTCAGTGGAAAATGATTAGGCATCCACCTTACAGTCCTCATTTGGCTCCTTCTGACTTCTTTTTGTTCCTGATTTAAAAAAAAATCTATAAAGGGCCCCCGATTTGCTTCAGTTAATAACGTAAAAAGACTGTATTGACAAGTTTCAGCTCCCAGGACCCCTCAATTCTTTAGGGATGGATTAAATGGCTGGTATCATCATTACAAAAGTATCTTGAACTTGATGGAGCTTATGTTGAGAAATACAGTTTGTATTTTTAATTTTTATCTTTTAATTCCATTTTTCCATTTTTAAAGTCCCCTCGCATATGACAAAAGGTATTTAATGAACTCCCACAAATCAATGATAAAAAGATAAATAAAATCAATGTTTAAATGGCCACTATCCTTGACCAGGAACTGTATAAAAGAGGATGATAAGAATATGAGAAGGTGCTCGAAGACAAATTAAAACAATGAGAAACCCACTACTAGGCTTCAAATTCCTTTTGCAAGTCGATTTTCAAATACAATATCCTACACCCAATATAAAATAAAGTCTCAAGAAAAGACAAGGCGATATAACGAAAAACTAGGTCAAAGGGAAAGCAAAAACTATAAAATATTATGTGAAGGAGATACAAGATTGAGAATTTTGGCAGAGAGTTGGAAACCATACAAAAGAAGGATAGAGCAGACGTGGGGAAAATACAAATTCTTCAACTGAAAAATATAATAATCAAAATTAAAAACTCAGTAAGTAGGCTTAATAGCAATTTAGACACAGAGAAATTCAGTGACCTAAAATCTGAAGAAAATGAGACAGGAAGGTATGACCCACTCAAAGGAAAAAACTTAATCGACAGAAACCATCCCTGAGGAAACAGAGACATTGGACTTACTAAACGAAGACTTCAAATCAACTGTCTTAAATGTGCTCAAAGAGCTAAAGGAAACCATAGACAAAGAACTAAAAGAAACCAGGAAAATAATGCATGAACAAAATGAATATATCAATAGATAGAAACTATAAAAGAGACCAAATAGAAATATAAGAGCTAAAATGTACAATAACTGAAATTTAGAAATTCACTAGAGGGGCTCACAAGCAGATTTGAGCACCTAGAATAAAGAATCAGCACACCTGAGACACAACTGAAATTATCAAGTATGAGGAGCAGAAAAAGAAAGAAGTGTACAGCGCCTAAGGGATCTGTGGTACACCATTAAGTGGACCAATACATGCATCGTGGGTGCCACAGAACAAGAGAAAGCCCAGAAATAAACTCTTAACGTAGATGGAGAAATAATTTTCGACAAAGGTGCAAAGACCATTAAATGGGGAAAAGACTGTCTTGTCAACAAATTCTGCTAGGAAAACTAGACACCCACATACAAAAAATAAAGGCAGATCCTTACCTTAAACCAAAAATTAACTCAAAATGGACCAAAGATCTATAAATGTAAAAACCAAAACTATAAAACTCTTAGAAGAAAACAGAGGGGGAAAACTTCATAGCACTAAATTTGGCAATGATTCCTTGGATATGACACCAAAGGCATAGGCAACAAAAGAAAAAAGGTAAATTTAAAAACTTTTGTGCATTAAAAGACACTATCAATAGAGAAAAAGGCAATTAACAGAATGGGAGAAAATATTTGCAAAGCATATGTCTAACAAGGCCTTAATATCCAGAATATATAGAGAATTCCTAAAACTCAACAATAAAAAAATGAACAAACTGATTCAAAAATGGGCAAAAGACTTGAATAAACGTTTCTGCAAAGATATGCAAATAGCCAATAAGCACATGAAGAGATGTTCAACATCACTAATCATTAGGGAAATGTAAATCAAAAACCACAAGATCAAAACCACTTCACATCTGACAGGATGGCTGCTATCAAATAGCCAGAAAATAAAGTGTCAGCACAGATGTGGAGAAACTGGAACACTTGTGCACTTTTGGTGGAAACGTCAAATGGCACAGGTGCTGTTGAAATCGTATGGTGGTCCCTCAAACAATTAAACACAGAATTACCATATGATCCAGCAATTTTAATCCAAAAGGATTAAAAGCAGGGTCTTAAAGAGATATTTGAATATCCATGTTCATAGCAGCATTATTAATAATAACTAAAACATGGAAGCAACCCACGTGTCCACTGACAGATGCACAGACAAAATGTGGTACATACACACAATGGAATATTACTCAGCCTTAAAAAGAAAGGAAATTCTCACACGTTATAACATGGTTGATTGTTGAGAACATTACATTAAGTGGAATAAGCCAGTCAGAAAAAGACAAATATTCCATGAGTCCACTCATGAGGTACCCAGAATAGACAAATTCATAGAGATAAAAAGTAGAATGGGGACTGGGGGAGGGGAATGGGGAGTTAGTGTTTAATGGGGACAGAGTTTCAGTTTTGTAAGTTAAAAAGAGTTATGGAGATGGATAGTGGTCACGCTTGCATAATATTTTGAATGCATTTAATACCACTGAACTGTACACTTAAAATGGTTAAGATGGTAAATTTTATGTGTATTTTACCACAACAAAAAAAATTGGGGAAAAAAAAAGGAATGAAGTTCTGACACATACTACAACATGGATGCACCCTGAAAACATATCAAATGAAATAAGCCAGTCACAAAAGGACAAATCCTGTATGATTTTATTTCTGTGAAGTACCTAAAAAGTCATAGAGAAAGTCCTAGGAAATTGCCAAGAACCAAAAGCACTCCAAGTCTGTTCTCTTATCACAGTGCAGCTAAACTACAACACACCAGTCAAAAGGTCCTTAGCAAATTAACAACCATACTTTCTTCAAATCACAATGGAAATTATAAAATATTCTGAAATGAAGGTTAATAGAAACGTTACACAGCAAAACTTTTGTGATGCAGCTAAAGCCATTAGAGGGAATTTTATAGCACTGAATGTCTACATTATAAAAGAAAGGCTTGAAATCAGTGAATCACACACCTTAAGAAACTTTCTAGAACAACAAAATCCACCCAAAGACAGAAGGAAAGAAATAATAAAAGGAAGCAATTAATGAAATATACAATAAAGACTATCATCAAAAACAAAATGCGTTCTTTGAAAAGGCTAATAAAATGCACACCTCTAAGGAGACAGTAAGGGAGGCGGGAGGGAGGGAGACAGGCAGAGAGGAAGCAGAAACCACCAGCATTAGGAATGAAAAACAGGACATCACTGTAAATCCTGCAAACAATAAAAATGAGACACTATGGACAATTTTATGGAAATTCATTTGAAAATTTAGAGAAATGTAGAGGAGAGGTACCAATTGCTAGAAAAGCAGAAATTAATACAACTGTCACAAGAAGAAACAAAATGCAAATGGTGTTAAAACTGTAAAAGAAATTGAGTCTATAATAACAATCTTTACCCTCATGGGATGTGTGATAAATACAGCAAAATGTCAATTATGAGTGTAGGTAGTGTATATGGGTGTTCACTGCAGAATTTTCAACTCTTCCGTGTTTGAAATTTTTCAAAGTAAAAGGTCACATAGGAAAGTTTCCCACACTAAAAAAATAATAATAATACTCTAGCCCAGATGGCTTTACCAATGGACTTCACTAAACATTTAAGACAGAAATAGCACCAATCTTCCACAAACTCCTCCAGAAAGTTGAAAAAGAGGAGATACTCCTTCAACTAGTCCTGATATAAAAACATGTTATGTGCCAAGACCTATCAGAGCAGATCCCCACTTCTGCCCTGTGTTGGTTTGGGCGAGTGTGAGCTAACGCCCAAGGCTGGTGTCACTCAGGGATGGTGTACACACCTGCCCCATTCTCCAGCCTGGAGACAGACCGAACTCAGGTAGAGATGGGTCTACCTGCCAAGGCAAGGCTGCCCCTGCCAGCTCTGAGCTGCAGGACTAGGGCTGCCCAGGCCTGAGCTCTGGAGTGACAGTCGGGCCTTGTCCTGTCCCTTCCACCTGCCAGCCGCAGGGTCTGGGCAAATCATGCACCTCCCAATCTGTAAAGTGGGAAAGCCTGATTCCTGGGGCTGTGGTGAGAATGAACTCAGATCATGAAAGTGAAGAGCTTAACGCAACGCCCATCTGTCACGCAGGAGGCTAGTGAATACCACAGGCCACAGCTACCCGACCCTGCCAGCATCCGAGCCCTGCCCTGCACTCGCAGCCCGCACCAGGGGCAGCCCGGCCCACCTGGGCTTCCATGTCGTGCAGCTTCTGAGTCTGTTTCAGCTGGTTCAGCGTGGGCTTCAGCTGCGCGGCCCCCACCGTCTTGCTCGTCCACTCGTCCACCAGCTTGTGCAGATCATCCGTGAAGGTGCCTTTCTTGTTGTTGCTGTTGTTCACCTGCGCCTGGACGTGCAGGGTGGGCTGGGGGCCTGGCTCAGGGCCTGGGGCCAGGCTGCTGGTGGAGGACCCTGGGGAGTCACATACAGGCCAGGATTGGTGATGCCACACACTCTCCATGCCCCCAGTGGGCTGGCTGCACTCATTCTTATGTGACAGCCGAGACGATGGTCTCACTTCAGCCAGGCAGCACCTTGCTTCAAGAGGCGGTCTGGATTAAAGGGCCTAGCTGCCCTGTTTGAGACATGGTGGGGGTGGGTAACTAGGCTGTGCCAGGTGGCTGTCACTATCTCATAAGCCAGGCCAAGGGACAGGACCCTGCAGCAGCTGGCAGCCTCCGCTCAGCATCCACTCTGTGCCACCGCTGCCCATCCCCAGACTCACGTGTGAGAGAGCTCAGCAAACTCCTAGCATGGCCAGACACACGTGTATTGTGGCCTAGGGTCAGATTCCTCAGGCTCTCTCTGGCCTCTGCATCCTCAGCTGTGACATGAGGACACTGGGGGGGTGGGAATACTTTGTGCAGAGTGTTCGGCACACAGTAGCTTTGGCTGGCTTGCTGGCAACCCCTGGCCTGTGGGAAGATGCTTGCCATGGGCTGCGATATTTGCATTCCCATGAACCCTAATGGCTTGGTTGTTTGGAATTCAAGACAGAGAAATTGTGCCTTTCCTTACCAGAGCATTTGGGGAAAATATTAATAAAGGGTACAAATACCTAGAGCCACCAGACCTGGGCTCCACCAGCCCTAGCCATGGGCTGGGGCAGAAGCAGGAGGGAGCAGGGAGCTCCTCTGGGGAGATGAGCACTGGAAGATTTATTTTTAAATGACCAAAATGGGATTTCTTAATTTTTAAAATTGTGTTCCTCCCCCACACACATAATTTCTGGTTAACGATTTTGAATAAGCCAATTTAAAATTTTTCTGCATTGGAAAAATAACCTAACGACCAGCTCTTCAAACAAGCTGTCCCGAAATGTAGTGGACTTTAGTGGCTAGCAATGAAAAAGCACAGACACAATGACTAAAAATTAGTGATGAGATTTTACACACACGGAGCTATTCCTACATGAGAAGTTCGGCCAGAAAAGAAAAAAAAATTAAAAAAGAGAGAGAGATGAGAGAGAGAGAGAGAAGTGAGTGGCCCAGGTAGACTAATACCCACTCGGTCCTGGTATCTGTCCTCGTGGGAGGCACTCATCTTTAGGACTTCAAGGAAATACTCATCCCTACGGTTTTGGAAAAGGAGCCAATTAACAATTGGTAATTTGTGGATGTTCTGGAGAAGGACAAGCCTGTTAGATGTGAACTGGCGAGACTGCACAAACTAGGAGCCATGGAGACACAAAGGGGGGCTGAGGGCAGCTGTCCCTCCAGGCAGAAGCGAAGCGGCGCCCAGCAGAGGGGCACGGAAGGGCCACGCCCGCCCAGCTGCAGGGACCCTGATGTGCACTAGCCACAATAAAGCCCATGCGATGAGAGAGGACAAAGGGGGAGAAAACCCAGATAATTACTACTGCTGTGTTCTTTGCCTAGGCAGAGACGCTTCAGGGCAGACCCTGCAAGGGAAAAAGAAACGACACAAGACCACAGGGTTAGGCAGAACAGCACACACCAAGACACGCTACCACACCTCAAGCAAAAGTCGTCAGTGTGCAGGGAGGGGCAGACACAGAGAGGAGGGCCGACCCAGCCTGGGGTATCTGGGCAGCCCCCCAGGTTAGTGTGCAGGCTCACACGAGCTTCACCCAGGTGGCGGAGGTGCCAGGGCCAAGCCCCCCAGCTTCAGGGAGCAGTGTTTGTCTCTAGAAGCATATTCCAAGAAAAGAAAAAGAGAGGGGAAAAAAAGGAAAAAAAGGGAAAAAAAAAAAAAAAAAGCAAAGCATATTGGCTGGCTTTCCAACATCGGGCTATTGGGAGCCCCACTGGTTGGGGCAGGAAAACCCATCGACAGTTGCCACGAGAGCTCTGGAGCAGAGCTGGGTGCAGCCTGGCTTGGCCACCGAAGCCCGTCGGAGGTTTTCCAAATGCAAAAAGATACATTGTTTTGCAGGTCTGAGGCCAGTTCTGGATCCCAGATGGTTGCCTTGGATGAGGTCAGCGATTGGTGTCAAGAAGGGGAACACGAGGGTTTCTACCTAACGGCTGACTCCAACATTTTGGGACATTGATTGCTGCCTCTTCTTTTACAGTCCACATCCACAAGGGGCAGGGTGAGGCCTCCATTTGGAACATTCCAGCCTCCTTGTTACCGGACCACCACTGAGCGGACCAGCCCCACACTGACCAGAGGCTGTCTGGTGTACACTAAATGTAATGTGGTGGCCGTCAGTGCACAGCCTGGTGGGTGGTCATACTGGCTTAACCTGTGGCCTTCCAGGGAGTTGGGCAGGCGGAGCTGGGATGGGCAAGAACAGGCTCAGACTTCCCCAAGGTCACTCGGCAAAGCCACGATAGCACAGAGGCTCTGTCCTCGCTCCAGCCCATGGCCCCCTGGCCAGGAGCACACGCCCTCCTCTGCAGGGACACGCTCTCCAGGGAGTCCAGAAGACCTAAAAGGCGGTGCTTCAGCCTTTCAGGGACTTGGAAAACCTGCCAATGTCCACCTTCCTTCTCTATAAGGGCTTGCACCTCTTGCCTTGGGGGACAGCAGGCAAACCCTCAGCGCAGCTCTGTGGCCTGAGTTTAGCCCAAGCTGTGTGTACAGGACTTGGAAGCCTAGCTCAAATGGACTTACTATTTTTAGCTCATTCCATATGTTCTCTGAGGCTAATGTGGGGAAAAGTGAAGTGATGGACTCTTGGAGTCTTTTGTTTTGCTTTTGAGACAAGAGTCTCACTCTGTTACCCCAACTAGAGTGCAGTGGCATCATCATAGCCCACAGCAACCTCAAACTCTTGGGCTCAAGTGATCCTCTTACCTCAGCTCCAAGTAGCTGCGACTACAGGTGTGCGCCACCACACCCAGCTAATTTTTCTATTTTTAGTAGAGACGGGGGTCTTGCTCTTGCCCAGGCTAGGCGGAGTCTTTAACGTTCAAACAAAAAGGGGCTGGGCAGGAGGATGGATGGACTTGGATGAGAAGCTTTGAAGGGCTGTGCCCTTGCTGGTCTATGTTCTGAGATGAAACCCTACAAGGAACAGAGCTGGTGTCCTCTTGGGAGCTCATTGCAGTGTGCAGAGGAGGTTTGGTTTGCTTTATACAGTACAAGAAAGACCCCCGAGGTCTGCAACTGTGGTGTGGGCTCGGATCCAGCATCAGTTTCTCCTCTGGGCTCCGTGTGGGGTTGTAGCCCCTTCTGGGATGCAACAGTCCCATACGGACGGCCCTAAGACAGAGGGACTAATGGTCATGCTGGGTCTCCTGGCTGTAGTAGGTACTTTATAAAAGCTGCTCTGTGCCTGCCTGGCAGCTCTCAGTGTAGCTGAAACTCTGCATTCGGGGCTAATTCCTGGCTGTCGTCATCCTGGGAAGAACATGAGACAGGGCGGCCGCAGCCTGGGAACCACCAGAGGGAGCCCAGACCCACAGTCAGAGCTGAGCCTGACTCCCACTCTGGGAACCCAGACACAAGCTCAGAGCCGGGATGGACACCACCCATGGAGGCTACCACAGCCTTCCCAGACTCAGGCCCGGGGTGACCAGAGCACCGACGGCTCCCGGCCCTCAGGGCAAACTAACGGATGCCCGCCCCTCAACATTAAGGACACGCTGTCTGGTGTCATATCCTGGCCGGGGGCAGACACTTTGCCACCCTCTGACAGCCCCGTTCATTCTTAAGTGGCTCCTTGGTCCATGTCCCCACAGCATCTCTGTCCTGGCCTCACTCTGTGTCAGGACAATTCCCCCCCACCCCCGCCCCACCAAAGGAACAAAGGAACCTGCAGGAGGCTGACAGCTTAAACCAGGCCCACCCCAGCCTCCCCGCAGGGCTCTGGGGAAGAGCCAGCACGGAGGCACTGGACTACTCAGGCAGGCGCTGAGGGGGGGGTTTGGTGGCCTCGCCCCAGCTGTTGGGAGATACGGTATTTTCTCCCCACAATATAAACGTGGCAGCACAAAGACGAAAGTAGGGTCCATTCTTGGACTTGGCATCCTCTGCTCTTGAGCAGATATCTGGACGAGCCCTCTAGCACGAGCTGCTGGCCGCCTGCCTCTCAGGGGGTCGAGGTGAGGCCCCTGCCCTGCCTCACCCTCAGTCCACTCTGGCACAAAACAACCTGCTCTGGGGTTGACAGTCCCACCCTCTCCATAGCGAGAGCACCCACCACTGTCCGGACCCTTGGCTGGCTGCAGGGAGGATGCCTCAAGCGTGAAGGAGTCAAACCAAGGGCATCTGATGGGGACAGATGGCTTAAAAAGTAGGTCAGCCCTTCAGCAGCCCCCCACATTTGCATCCTACATCACAGTTCACATACTGTCGCAGTCCCCACTACACAGCAGGAGCTACGACCCCAGCACGACGCTGGCCGGGGCAGCCCACCTCCCCTCGTAGGCTGGGCTGGTGGCTTCGCTTCACCCCACAGTCAGCACTGGCTCTCTTTTCTGGCATAAGAAAAAAATGGGCATCAGGGCCAAACCCCCTCCGGGTATCTATACATGGAGCAACCATGTTCTTCAGCCGAGAAAATGGCCAAAAACATTGTCCATAAAGCATCAATTGGGAACCGAGGATGTGGCTCAGCTCTACTCAGGGTGATCTGGGGATGTTTTCATTCACGACCCTGAGCTGCAGACCCCAGGTCCCACGGGGCCCCAAAGCGCACAGGCCTGCTCCACGGCCAGCCGCAGAGGCGAGCTGCACTGACCGCCCAGCCTGACCACCTGGGCTGCCCAGGACACAGAAGTCGGGGCCCGCAGGTGGGGCAGAAGCCCTCCTCTCCGGGTGCCCTCTGCCCCAGGAGCCTCCCCACACCCACTGTAGAGGGCCTTGCCAAGCACTCAGTCTCCCCACGCCACGGAGGGATGAAGACACTACAGGGTAGGGGAGGGCCAGAAGGGCCCCACAAGGGCACCCGAGAGTCCCTGAGCTGAATGTGCTGCAGCCAACAAACAACCTGAGGAAAACACAAGGTGAGACCCATGGTTCCTGCAGGCACAGAGAAAGACCCAGAGGGTGTCAGCACCTGCCTGGTCAGGTGGGAGGATCCAAAAGGAAAACAGCTTCTGATCAACAGAACCACCAAGGCGCCATCTCGGGGTCTGCACCAAGACCCCTCCTCTCCGGTTCAGAGTCCACCATCCTTCAGCATGCACAGGGTCACCTGAGCTCCCCGCAGCATGTGCCGACCACAAGAAAGGATCCTGGTCCTATAGATCTATAGGTCTGTACCGAGGACCCGGATCATGGGGATCTACCAGGAGGTCTGCACTCCCTGGGGGCCTGCCCACCTGCTGCTCCCGACCTCAGCCCACTCCCTGTTCCTCCACACAGGGTCGGCTCCCAGCCTCTGGAACTGCCAGCTGCTCTGCTGGCCCTAGCCCAGGCACAGACACTTGGGTGCCCCGTGTCCCCAGCCCACGCTCTGACCTGGCTTCGACCTGCCCTGCCTGTGGCTGTTTCATCTTCTCTGGGCTTCACAGAGGCAGGGCTCTTTCTGTACTTCAAAATTTAATGCCCATTTTTCCTGGAGCTGTCTCTCTTCCACAAATTAGGGGGCAAAAATTCCCCCTCCTCTTGTGGGCTTTCTTGTGGGTTTACCCAGGAACCAGCAGATGTATGAACGAACGGGCAGCTCAAAGAGAAGCCCCGACCTCTACAGCCCTCGGGCCAGGGCCACACAGGACCGGACGGGAGGGGCAGTGCCAGCTCCCGTAGAGCAGCAGGGGGAGCTCAGAGGTCCAGAACTGACTCTAACGGGCCTTGAGAGGCACCCAGGGCAGGAGTCCACATGGGCTCTCCCTGACCTGTAACTGCAGGGCATGTGGGAGGCACATTATGGCCTGAAAAGACTAGGAGTCAGCCAGGGCTTGCCCGACAGGCCGAGCTGTGAGAACAAGCAAGACCACGGGACTCACAGCATCGAGGCAGAAACGAAGCCTGGACCACACCTGAAATCAATCCACCCATGCCAAATCTCCCAGGGCCCCGCACCCCTGGTGACAGTGCCAGGACAAACCACACGGGCATGAACCAGAAGAGGAACAGCAAGTGAGGTGTCAGGCGAGCAGGGGAGGACAAGGCTGCTGCAAAAGGTTTGAGTGCCGCACAGAGGGGGCTCTTCTAGCCCTCCCTGGACTCAGCTCAGCCACTGACCAGCTGCCGGACTGCAGAACCCATAGCCTGGACAACACTGCCGGGATGAGGCTCGCTGTTAAACGACTGAGAAGCCCCTGGGAAGTCCCCGGCATTTCAACGTGGCCCCTGTGTCCTCGACCTGCCCGCCTGGAGAATGGTGACCCACGTGGACCTCTGATGGGGTGGGCTGATGGCAATGGACGCCTCCCGTGGAGGTGGCCTCTGGCTCCCAACAAGCACAATGTATCTTTATTGTACAAGCAAAAAGTCAAGTGCCCCAAACCAGCATATCCAATCCAATTGTTTAAAAGCTTAATTGTTAAAAAGCTTAATTTTCTTGTTAAAAAGATAAAAACCTAAAAGCTCTACAGCTTTTGATTCATTTGCCAATCATTCTCAGCGTTAAAAAAACCAACTGCACAATTTCGGATGGCCCCGAGCAAGCGTGCCTTTCCTGGAAATGGAATTCCAGGGCACTGAGAGCCTGTTCCAGGGCATCTGAGCGACTGGAACTGAGTTTTGGGTTAGTGGAGACTCGAGGAACTGTGCACTGACTTCGTCCCTGCAGTCACATGAGCTCATAGGGAAATACACCAGGTAAAGTGCTCCGGCTGGATGGAAGAGGAGGAGGGGACGGCCAGGAAGGATGCACGCTCCAAAGAAGAGCCACAGGGGAGGCTGTCAGTCTCATCTTTCAGGTTGGAGAGGGCAGAGAGATGACAGCGGGGGCCAGATCTCCCCTTGCAGTGGAGAGGGGCTCGGGGCCCGAGCTGGAGCACGTTCTCTCAGCAGTGCCACATGCAGGGAGCGGGCGGGCGGGGTATGCGCAGCGTTGGACGTTGGGATTAGGCCCTGGTACAGAAGTCACACCCTCCAGTGACCTTTAGAACCATATGGGCTGGCTACATGCGTGTCTTCACAGTCCAGACACATGTGACACACACCATGCGTCTGGAGAAGGTTGGGGTTGTCTTTTTGTTGTCGCTGGAACTGGGGACAGCGGACATGTATATTTGCCACAATTGCAACAGAAAAAAAACTACATCCAACGCAAAAAAAATTAAATAAATGAGGTGACGAAAAAATGCAAAGGGCCCCAGTACATCGGGGCGGAGGTGCCCGAGGCGGAAGGCAGGCACTCCGCTGCACATGCTTTTGGAGCCCAGGCATGAGCCAAGAGCATGCACACGCGCTATGTGGGGCCAGGACGGCGGCGGGGGAGGGAAGGGGTGGCAGCCGCTCCCAGGGACCGGCTCGCAGGGTTCCACTTTTGATATTAAATAGGTGACTTCGATGGGGTGGGGGAGGCATCCTATGAAATGTATGAAAGGTAATGAAGACAGGGAGAGCGTGGGGTGGGGAGAAACCAAGGGCCAGGAGGTGATAAAATACAAAAGAACAAATACAGACAGATGGACACAGATACGGGTCCACTGAGGAATCGAGCACGAGGTTTGCTACTAGACTTATAGGTCACTCTCTCAGACGTTGGGTGGTAAACCGTCCAGCCTGCAAATGAATATAAAGGGAAGAAAACAAAGAGACACTCATCAAGTACAGGTTGCTGCGATTCCTCCTCCACACCAACAGCCACACCAGCCTCGTCACTTAACATCCACGGCTCCATCTAGCCCAGCCCAGAGCACCAAAGCCACTGACCACGTAATGGGAAGGTGGAGTGTAGGAGTGGAAGAGAAGCGGCCCGGAGGAGGGCAGGGTGGGGCCGGGTGCCTTCGTGGTCACCATGATTTCTCTGGACAGAGATGGTGAGGACAGGAGAGCACCTTATCGAGCAGCTGCTGCTGTCCACGACAGCACTGACGAGAAAGCATTTCCTCCTCAGGGCCAACTCCCAGCTGAAAGCTGTGCCCTTGTCCCCCAGCCGTCCCTCTGGACTTTGGAAGGACCTGGTGTTTAGCACCGTCTGGCTCCACTGCGAGGAACAGGGCTGGGGCGGGCAGCCAGTGCCTAGGAATACGTGCTACAGAGCACACAGCTAGACGCCAGGTCCCCCCCTCCCCGGTCCTGGCCACTTCCCTGAGGTCCGCTCTAGCAAAGCATCACCTCCCCCTGAGCTGCTTACAGCAGGACTTGGCGGTGGTTAGGGCAATTCCATTCTTTTCATCCAAAGACTACATCTTTTTCTTTTCCTTTCTTACGAAGCTACTCGGCAGCCTTTGCTGCAGCTCGTGCCCCCTCTACACAATACAGGTGTGCTCCTGGGGACACCACTGAGGCCCTGGGTGGCTAGCACATGCTCGGAGACAGGCAAGCTGGGAATCACCTTGGCCACGCGCTCCGCCTCCGTCACTGGCTAAGCCGGAGCAGATGTCCGAAGACAGGGAGGCCCGGACGGAGCAGGGCTGCTGAGTCTGCACGGCCTTCCCGCTCGGGCCGGTGCTGGCCGCAGCGGGCCCCGCACTGGCTTGGGCAGGGTCCTTAGCAGGAGGGCCTCTGCTGGAGTCAGCCAAGTGACCTGGGCAGGAGGAGAAGAGGTGACAGGCACGATGAGGCGCTGCCGGGCAGGGGCCATGCGGGCTGAGTCTGTTCTGCCTGCTGGTTGCTGGGTGACCTTGGGGAAATTGAGTCTCCTGCAGACGAAGGGCACGTGGCCTGGTCTCCCATATGGGAGTGTTGGGGAAGATCAAAGAAAGTGCCCAGTCTCCACCAGTCCCCAGCACTGTGCTGGACTTGTGCTGTGCAAACATGGTGACAAAAGCCACACACCCAGGCTCGCAGTGGCCTGTGCATGTCTCACCCTAATTAGTCTCCTCCTAGCTGTGGGAATTGGCACTGAATTCACATATTTTGTGCAATTTGTGGATGTGTGCCCTGCAGGTGGTTGGCTTACAGGTAGCTTATAGCGGCTTCCCGCCTGGCATGCTTGGAGACCTGGGCTCACAGGTGTCCACCTCAGAGCGCCAGGGCTCTCAGGCTCTGTACATGCAGCAGTGCCACTCGGGAGGCCTCAGGAATGCCTGATAGGCATAGGCATGGGCTCCTGGCTGCCTGGAGCCAGACCAGTGCCACCGCAGTGCCTGGGTGTCACCTTGAACAAGACCAGGAGTTTGTCATCATTCTACTCCCCACTCCCAAAGGCAGCTCCTCGGCTGGCAAGCACCTGAGAAACGGGGTCAAAGGAAGCAGTTGCCACCCTTCTGAGGCAGCACCCTGCAGGGAGGAGCAGGTGGGGGAGAGCCACCTCGAGCTTCCCTGGCACCCCTCACCCCTCACTCAGGGGTGAGGCCTGGCTCCCCGCGGCCCCTGGGTAAGCACAGGCCTTGCCTCTCTGCACCTCGGCCTGCACTGATGTCCCTGTTGCAGGGAAAGGAGACTCAGAAAGGAGAAAACCCCAAGTGTTCTTCCTGGTCTGAGGGTGTCACATGTGCACTGAGCCCACCTCCCAAGCTCACTTGGGGATCCCTGGGCCCCGCTCCCATCCCATTCCCCCATCCCAGCGCAGCCCTCCCCCTGGAGGCCGACCTGTGCTGGAGGCCACAACCTTGAGCTGCCGCACCAGGGGGTTCAGCAGCTTCCCAGCCTTCAGCTTGCCCTTGCTGGTTTTCCTCCGGCGGCCGGTAGGGGGCGCCGTGTGGAAGAAGCCCACGTTGGGGGGCAGCGGCTTGCCCAGCCGGCGGTACAGAGCCTCGATCTCCTGCTTCTGCTGGCTCTGAAGCTCTGAGATCTCCTTCAGGTGCCTGGAGGAGGGGAGAGAGGAACAGGGCAGGTGAGCGCCCTCAGCAATTTCCAACACTGCCGCCGTGTGAGAACAGGTGGTGTGGGGTGGGCAGCTGTGTCTGTGCCTTGGCCCAGGTCACTTGGAAGGGCCACACTGGGATTTAAAATGGCAACTGTTTATATTCAAAGCAGGAGGGCACCCTGTTGGGGGCCTCAGGTATTAACATGCCCAATGACAGGGGTGAGCCTAAGGAGCTTCAAATTTTCCCATATCCACAATGTGTTTTAATGGTTGTCGGTCAGGGACTCCACGCTTACACTTGCAATAAAAACCCTAAATGTTTACACAGGTGAACAGAAAATCAGCTGGTGCCCGGAACTGAGAGACTGCCTCAGATCACCACGCAAACATGCGTTATTTCCTCAAGGCAACAAAGAGAGTGTGGGAGGCAGCTCAGAGGAGGCGCCAGACCTACACGAGCAGGCCACAGAGACACTTATTTCCGGCCAGCCCACTGGGTCTAGTGTGGAAGGTCACATGTCATCGTACAGGTGAAATGCAGGTGGATCACTGGTCATGGGCGAGGGCAGTTTCCAGGACAGCGGAGGAAAGAGGCCATGGCTCCCTGCTGGGCCGCCCTGGGGACTTGCTGGCAGAGTCTGGGGCTGCGGCCCTCCCTGCTGCATCTGGGAGCACTGAGCTTCTGCAAGGCCTGATGCCTCCCATGGGGCCCCAGCTGCGCAGCTAGGGGGCTGCGGCACCTCCTTGCCACCCCAGGCCCTCCTCTTATGGCTAGGAAAACAGGTGGTTTCCACAGTTGGAAATGAGGAAGCAAGTTCTGATTTTACCTCCTGTATCTTCAATAACTGCCAAACTTGCTTTTTAAAAAATGGCTTTATTTAGCTACTAAAAATAAATAAAAATAAAATCCTGAATGGCTTTCTCCATACGAACACCAGAGAGGAAAAACAAAGGACTGTCTGCACCAGATTATCTTCCGAAAGGGAGAACTGTTTGAAGAGAGAGTGCTGACTGCCCGGGAGGGCATTGCGTGGGCAGAGGCGGCGTCCTGTCCAGAAGGACTTCAGGCCCCTCCGAGGCCCGAGCCCCACAGCCCAGCTGCGGCTGCCCTGACTGCAATGGGATTCCCATGCTGGGGTTCCCCAGCTGCTCCCTGCCGAACCAGGGGCCCCAGATGTCTGCACGCACAGGCTGGGCCAAGGACAGGGCTCCTAGAGCCCTAAGAAACCCCAATGCTCACACCAGAAACCCCGCGGTGGAGCCCAGGCACCTGCGTTCTAACGAGGTGTCTGGGGGTGTTGATGCAAGCAAGGTTTGGGAACTGCTGGCTACTTCCTATCAGATGCCACCAAGTCCCCTCAATTCCCAGTTGAGGTTCAAAATCTCCCTTGTTCCCTTCGAAATGGTCTACCCCTTTCTACTGGGGGCTCCATGGTCCTCTCGGTGTCTATTTCCCCTGTCCTAGGTTCTGTGAATCACCTCCTGTCTTTTGGGGTGCTTCTGGGCTCCTTCCCCTCCCTCTGTCCTTCCCTTACTAGGCCCTGCCCCTTTCTCTAGGCCCCACCCACTCCTGACTCCCAACCACACCTGCTATTTAGGCCCGCCCCTCATCTCTAGGCCCTGTCCCACACCTAGGCCGCTCCCCTGGCTCCCCCAGGGGTTCCCACCCACTCTCACCCAGGATACAGGCTCTCCTCAGAGCCTGCAGCAGCTTCTGTCCCCAGAGTTCTCACATCCAAACTCTCCTGCCCCTTCTGCAAGGCCCCCCTCATGGTGGCTGGCAGTGGACTGTGGCCTGGCCACATCTCAGCTCCCCTTTGTGCCTGCTGACCACTGGCTTCCTAGGGTAACATGCTCGCTGAGAGGCCGTGCCCCTGCCCTTCTGTCCTGAGAGGTTCCAGGTTGTGCCCACCTTGGGACCCATCCACCCACTTGCCTCCACGAAGGTTCTGCTGGGCCATGAGGCTGCAGGGGCTGCCTTCCTCGGTGCCCCCAAGACCAGCACCACGTCCACCCAGCCCTGCCCTCCTGCCTCCCCGGCCGGCTCCAGCTCACCCCTTGTCAGCTCTTCACAGACCGGAGGACACTCAGTACCTCCTCAATGGCAGCTCTGACCACCCCACCCAGCCGGGCAGAGGCCACGCAAAGAGGACGGCAGGAGAGAAAGGAGGCGCACAGCTCCTGTGCAGCTCTGTGATCTCAAACAGCACCCAGCTCTCTATCTGCTGTTCAGCTGCTGGCGAATCCTGTGTTAGCCACATCTTAATACCCTCACTGTTGGGCTCTATCTCCTACCCCGAAGGACATCTCAAGGTGGCAGGTGCCTCACAGTACCCCCTGACCATACTAGGGACGGAATAAATGTTTGCTGGATGAGAGAGACAGAGGGTAAGGAAGAAGGAGAGACAAATGGGAAGGGAGGGAGAGACAGAGATGGAGAAAGAGATATGGGAGTGAGGGAAAGAGGGAGAGAGACAGAGGGAGGGGAGAAAAAAAGGAGACAGTGAGAAACAGGGAAGGAAAGAGACGGAGAGAGAGGGAGAGAGAAATGGGAAGAGAGACAAAGAGAGGGAGAAAGAGGGGGAGAAGCAGACAGAGTGAGGAAGGCACACAACCCAGTGACAACTCAGTGACACCCCGAGACATCCCCCTGCGGGCAGCAGAAGGAAGGAGTCGGCTGCAGGAAGGCACCAGAAGGGCGGTATGGCCCTCAGAGCAGCCAGGCAGATGGCAGGGCAGGGGCTGGCCCAGCCTGGAGGACACTCTAGGTGGGGAGCTCTCTACCCAGAGCAGCAGGGATGGGTCTAAGGTGGCCTCATCTCTGCCTGCCCAGCAGCTACAAGTGGCTGCTTGGCCAGGACTTCAGCCCTGCCCCATCGCTTCCCGCACACAGTGGAGGCCCTCCCCAAAGGACCTACTTCTCCCGCAGACTCTGCAGCTCCTTCTTTATGTCAGCGTCCTCGAACTCCGAGTCATTGTCGCTGCTGATGTAGGAGGACTGGGAGTGGAAGGATGTCACGCTGATGGTGGGGACCTTCACGCCTGCTCTGCCAGGCGTCTCTGGGTCCAGAGAGCCAGCCTGCGAGGGCCTGTGCAGGAAGGCGGTGGCCTTCTTCACCAGGTCGCTGGCCACGCTCCCGCCACTGGGCAGGGATGCCTGCTTCTGCACCGCGGGCCGCCCCTGAGGACACTCGTCCCCAGAGTCACTGGATACGGGCTCGCCCAAGCCGATCTCTATAGAGGAGGCTGTCTGCACCCGCCGCACTGCCAGCTTCACGTCGGGGCTGGAAGGCGCCTCGTCCAGGTAGACATCGGGTGGGGCGGAGTACCTCAGGCTGTGGGGGGAGGACAGCGTCCACTCGTCCTGCGTGCTGACCACTGAGAAGCGGCCCACGGTCTTGGCTGGCGAGCTGCCATCCTGCTGCCCCGGCCGCTTCCAAGGGGACCCTGAGGCCCGAGTGCTGTACGTCTGGGGGTGGCTGGCCTGACCAGCCTCTGCGAACATCCCCGTGCTGCTCTGAAGGAGCTCTGCCGAGCGTTCCCCAGGGACCCTGCTGTCCATGGCTGTGGGTTCCTTAAGTGCAGGGCTCGCATCCTTGGGAAACAAGTGGAAATGAAGAGACTCCACGACAACACCAGCAGAGAGCAAGCCCCACCTGCCAACCAGGGGGCTTGTCAAAGAAGTCAGCCTTACCTGGGGGGCGCTTGGTGCCATGGAGGAGTCGGAGGCCACCTGCCCGCCGTCTCTGTGAAAGCCCAGAGTGCTGCTGGGAGACAACTCTGCTGTAGGAGCATCAGAAACGTTACTGGGCTGGTGAAAGAGGAACAGAGGTGGCGCCCGCCAACCAACCAAAACCAAATCCCACGGAGCACTGCCAGCTGGGTGGGAAAAGGGAGCTGGCACTTGCAGGAGCCACTTGTGTGTGCTCATGGCAGTTTTGAAAACTGAAAATACACCATTGATGTCCCAGCCCCGTGGCATCTGCTGCATGTCACTGTATGGAAGCCACCCTACAAACTCCCGGCAAGGGGAGAGGCTTCAGCCCCAGACACCAGGTGCAGCCAGGCCCTCCGTGCACCTGACGGCCAGAACCCAGTCTTGCCCCGCTGTCTTCTGACATCAGAGAGTTGCACAGAGCAGATCGACAGGGCTGGGACCAGCCCTGCTCCCACAGCGTCTGGGGAATGTCCACTGCACCTGCAGCTGTCTCCGTGTTCTCCTTCCACAAAGACATTTCTGATCACCTTTCCCAGGGGTGCCATGAAGAGCCAATAAGAGAAGCTGAGCAAGTTGGTGAGGGGGTCCCCACTGCAGCCGAGATCCCCATATGGCAAAAGAAACTTGTGGGCAAGCAGGGCATGAGCCATACCTACGTGCCACAGGCATAGGCAGCAGGAGCCGACAGAGCCTCCTGGGAGGCTGGGGGCCACTCTACACACACACGTCTCCTTTGCACACCCCAAGAGGAAACTTGCAAGGGAATGTTAGCCCACATTCCTGAGGAGACTCGGTCCAGTCTCTGCCATGCATCCCCAGCCGTGGGCAATGATCAACTCCCCTCCTCACATCCCTGCAGTGGGGGCCATCTGACCTTTCTTTGCATACCTTCAGGGACAAGAGGCTCACTACAAACTACAACCCCTCTATTTCTAAACAGCTCTGATTGCCATAGAAGTTCACCTTTTCCAAACTAGAATCTGTCTCCTCAGAGCTTCCCCCGCGAGTTCTGCACTGTGGGAAGAGTGTGAACCGGGAGTGCAAGTCACATCATCAGTGAAGCCCAGTTTCCTCATCTGCAAAAGGGGCCCGTGGGATACATCTCACAGCACAAGGTCCGAGTCAGACGGAGTGACGAGGGCAGCCTAGCGCGTGGCCAGGCAGAGGTGCTCAAACACAACCTCTCGTTTTTGCCCTTTCACAGACACCCCGCTTCCCCCGTCCCTCAGCCTCCCCAGGCTGAATATCACCAGTTCTTCGTGTGCTCAGCTTCTGACCCCAGTGCCAGCTGTCCTATACCCTCTTAAAGTATGGCATGTAGAAATAAACATAGCCTGGACTGTGGGGCCCCACCTGCCGCTGACCCACACTGAGCTGTCTGTTAAGAGGCTCGGCTGGAGCCCCCCAAAAATTCCAGACTGAGAAGGAACCTCGCTCCTTAGAAGGTCAGCCCAGCTCCCTGAAGAAGGGGACTCGGGCACTCAGGTAATGAAATGAGAACCAAAGCAAAGGAGTTTCTACGAAATGTGCAAAGCCAGGAGTCAAGAGGGACCCTGCGTCAGGTCTGAGGGATGGCCCTGGCCTCAGCCGCTTCCCAGGAGCTGCGGCATCGCCCAGCCCCACGGCGCCCCTCCTGCCAAAATAACCCTGGGTGTTCTGTGGGTATCCTGTAACCCTGCTGAATAAGCGCAGGGCCTGAGGGAGGTCCACCCGAACGTGTTCAGATGCTCAGCGCAGGAGAACCCAGGGCAAAGACACAGTCCCTACCCCGTCCTAACATCCACCAGTGGGGCTGATCCATTTCCACAGAGAGGACTTTCTCTCTTTGGAGTGGGAGCATGTGTTTCATTCTAGAACACAGTGGGCTTTAGTTAAGCCTCACCTGAGATACTGAAAGATCCCTTAAAGATAAAAGGGATGATTTTACCCCTCAAAAGACAAAGGGTGGGGGTGCAGATGCAGAAGGTTCTGGGGCAAGGAAGGCTGGTGGTACCTCAACAGCACGGGGTTGGGTGGCCATCATGGGCTTGGTTACCTGTCATTGATAAAGATGTGCCCTGCTCCGTCATACCCCCTCGAGTAGGCGCCAGTTCTGACTTTTCCAACTGGAGGAAGAAACACAAAGGAAAGAGCTGAGACTGGCTTGTCAACATTTCAGCAGCTAAATCTGCAAATCCATTTCCCCTCCTGTCTCTGGAGCTGCCCTTGGGCAGCCCCTCCATGCATACCAAGACCCCATACAGGGGTCCCTTGTTGCAAGACACGCGTGGGTGAGCCAGGCAGGGGCGGGTGGGTCACCCAGAGTGGGACAGGCCCTGGGTGATGGTGGCCCTGCATAGCTGGGATGCCTGCCCACCCCCAGGCACTGGCCCCTGCCCCTGCCCTAGGACGGCGCCTCTAGGATGAAGCTGCTACTCACCGAGGGCTGGGGCAGCCGCGCATGCCCTGGGACCGCATCACTAGGCACCAGGGGCAGGGCCAGGTCTCCCCCACAGGCCTCCGTGCGAGGCCGGTCCCCTCTCAGGGGATCCAGGGTGAAGTCTCTGTCGCCCACCTCCACGGGAGTCCCAGCTGAGGCTGAGGAGGTGGGCACGTGCTCCTGGTAGAGCAGGGTCCTCAGCTTCTCATCCAGGCTCTTGATGGTGCTGTCCACAAAGCCCACTCTCGGGGGCGGCCCTTCCCCATCTGACTCCAGGGCCGAGGGTGGCTGTGGTGGGGCGGCAGGCCCCAAGGGTGGGCTTGGGAGCTGGGAGGCAGCCAGGCTGACGGCTCCCACTGCGGCAGGGAGTGGGGGAGGGGGCTGCCCCAAGCTGGGCTGCGGGGCCCCACTGGGGGGGCTGGGCTCAGGTGCAGGAACCGGCAGGGGTTCCCCTGGGGCACTGGCCTCTCTGGCTGAGGCGGGCTCCCCAAGACCCATGGCACAGAGGGAGGGCTCCAGAGGTGGGGCACGAGGTCCCAGGCCCACCGCGAGGGGCTGTGAAGCAAGCCGGGCATCGTGAGTCTCCACTAGTGGCTGGGTGGTCTCGAGCTCACTGGTCGGCCCCTGAGGGGTTCCTGGACCCCCTGCCTGGACGGCAGTCCCTGACACTGGCTCTGGCATGGTGCTGGTGGCTGGTGCAGCTGCGTCTTGAGGCAGAGCAGTCACAGGAGGGGAAGATGGTACCAAAGGGGCGGGTGTCCCGCTGGGAGTGCTGCCGGGGCCCGCCTGGCTCAGGAACTGCTGACCAGCTAGGAGGCCAGGTTGCTCCTTCAAGGGCAGCTGGTCTTTATAGGGTGCTGGATCTAGAAGAAATGGAAAAATGGCTTTGTACCGGCCTACTCTGCTCCTATTTACCTGGCTCTCCCCTGGCTAAAAAGATGTCTTGCACAGCCTGGCCTGGCCCCAGCACGCTCGGTTTCTGTTTCCCCAGCACGCCAGGTCCCTGCCTGCCCACAGCTCGGGCCGGGCACTGAATGCTGCTCCCGCGGATCTCTGAGCCGCCACCGTCTCACCTCCAGGCCCTGTGCCAACAGTGTCCCCTCTGGCTGAACTAGCAGCACTCCCTTCCCTCTGTGTGTAGCATGGGACCACCAGGTATGGCCTGCTATCTGTTCGTCATCCATCTGTCCTTACCCTCACCCTCGAGGAGAGCACCATGAAAACATGGCTCGTCTATCCTGCACTAGCCCATTCAACAAAAAATTTTAAAATGGACTTCTTAAAAATTAAGGTGTTTAGGTAGTGAGCTGCGTACACCCCCATGCCAGGAGCGAACAGAAGCCTGGAATGGCCTGTCAATCAGACTCCCACTCTTCGGTACAGTCCAAAGCATGACTTTCCAGGGCTGGTAAATGGTGCTGGGGGGAAAAACTTGGAACCCAGGCAGTGAAACAAAGTCCAACAGCATCTTGTCCAGGAACTCATGGAGCTTTTAACACACTCACGGGCGCTTCGGACATCTGAGCGGAGGATACAGGATACAGCATTTCTCAAACTTACTTGGCCTTGGAGCCCATTTCTCCTTACTTTAAAAAACAAAAAAACCTTTTGTTCTTCTAAAAAACACAAACAATGCACAAAACAAAAATGAAAACTGTAAAAAAAAAAAAAAAAAAAAGGTGGGGATGAGGAGATTACCAAGACCTGGTCCCCTCTATGTTCCCAGACTGACTTTGCCCCTCCCCCCACCAGCCCAACAAGTTAGATAATTCTGACGAGCATTTCCTCCGCTGTTCTTCGTTGTGGCTTTCCCATATGTGTCTCTAAACACCATAGTTCAGTTTTGCACATCCTATCGACGGAATGGTACTCTATGCTTTGGTGCCTGGCCTTGCTCTCACACTGTGTTTGTGAGCTGCGTCTGTGTTGTCGTGTGTCTGCAACTGTACCACAATGCACGTGCCCATCCTGTGCTGGTGCTCGCCGGGCCGCCGCCAGGTGGGACCATGCCTAACACTGAATCACAGTGTGCGTGGGCCCGCGTCCCGCCAGGTGCCCAGGATGGAGCTGCTGGTCAGAGAATGTCTTTGGCCTTCAGTAGGGGATGCTAAGGGGCTGCCCCAAATGGGAGGCAATTTCCCCTCCCACAGGCAGTCTCTGAGCACTCCTAGGGCTTCCTACCCTCCCAAGTTATCCTGGGGCTGTGTAACAGGCTCTCATTGTGGTTTATTTATTTTTGTCAATTGTGGTAAGAACACTTAACATGCGATCTGCCTTCTTAATAAATTTTTAAACACGCAATACTGTATTGTTAACTACATAGGCACCATGTTATATGGCAGATCCTCTAGAACTTATTCAGCTCACGTAACTGAACCTTTGTGCCCAGTGAATGGCAACTCCCCATCTCCTCCCTTCCCCGCTTCTGGCAACCTCCGTTCCACTCTCTGCTTCTGTGAGTTTGACTGTTTTAGTTTCCACACATAAGAGGAATCGTGTAGTATTTGTCTTTCTGTGTCTGGCTTATGTCACTTGGCACAATGTCCTCCAGGTTCATCTATGTTGTCACAAATGATAGGGTTTCCTTCTTTACGGCTGAATAACATTCCTTTGGGAATATACACCACATTTTCTTTATCCATTCATCTGTCAGTGGACACTGGGGTTGTTTCTGTACCTCAACTATTGTGAATAATGCCGCGATGAACATGGGAGAGCAGATATTTCTTCCAGACCCTACCTTCAATTCTTTTGAGTATACATACATACACTCAGAAGTGGACTGCTGGATCATATGGTAGTTCTAGTTTTATTTTTCAAAGAACCTCCACACTGTGATCCATAAAAGCTGTACTAATTTACATTCCTACCAACAGTGTACAAGGGTTCCCTTTTCTCCCCATCCTTGCCAATACTTGCTGTCATTTGTTTTTTGACAACAGCCATCTTAATAGGTGTGAAGTGGTATCTTGTGGTTTTGATTTGTGTTTCTCCAGTAACTAATTCAATTGAGCCCCTTCTCCCATGCCCATTGGCCATCTGGGTATCTTCTTTTAGGACATACCTATCTAAGTCTCTTGCCTATTTTTCTACTGAGTGGTCATTCTTTTCTTTTTGATTGGTAGGAACTCCTTTGTGTATTCTGGATGAGATTTGTTGGCTGGCCGTAAGTGCTGCAGAATCTTTCCTCACTTTGCGATTCACCTAAGTGTCCAATTAGTGGTGTCTTTTCATGAACAATAGTACTTAATTTTAATACAGTCATATCTAACAAATTTTTTAGCCAGTCTTTCCTTTAGCATATTTTGTTGAACTTAGGTCTACAATGTTGTTAGGTGATTAAGTATGAAATGTCCAATTTCCTTAAGTACTAAGTTTGACAGTTGATATCTCTGACATTTCCCTTTGACACTTCTTGGTTTTTTTTTTTTAATTGTGAAGGTACATCCTCATTCTTTCAAACACACATTTTGCCTTGTGATTATCTTTCAAAATATTTTTTAAGAGCAATTTTTGTGAAACCATGGATAAGTCAAAAATTCGTGTTAATTTTGAATATGAGTTCTGTCATGGTAACAGTGTAGCGTAGACAGCTCGAAATATCAACGAAGCGTCTGGGAAGGACATGGCTAATGAAAGCACAGTACATTGATGGTTTGAGAATTTCCATGGTGATTTTAATCTTAAAAATGAGCCACGTGGGTGACCTGAGACCAAGGTGGATAATGATGAGCTGAAAGCTGTAGCAGAAGCAAATCCATCTTAACCTACAGGTGAATCAGCAGCAAGGTTTGACATTACCATTCCAAGAAATATTGGACCATTTGAAACAAATCGGCAAGGTAAAGAAGCTGGATAGATGGGTTCTGCATGAATTAAATGAGCATCTGAAGAGACTTCAGAAACATCATCTCAAAGCTTGCTTTTCTTTGTGGTCACAACATAAAGGTGAACCATTTCTACACTGTATTGTTACATGTGATGAAAATGGATTCTTTTTGACCATCACAAGCATTCAGCACAATGGCTGGATAAAGATGAAGTGCAAAAGCACAGTCTAAAACCAAATATTCATCAAAAAAAAGCTAATGGTGTCTGTTTGGTGGTCCGGTGCTGGTATTATCCACTACAGCTTCATGAAACCTGGTCAATCGATTACAGCGGATGTTTACTGCAACCAACTGGACAAAATGATGAGGATGCTTATGATTCAGCAGCCGAGATTGGTCAATAGAGACTGACCAATCCTCTTGTAAGACCACATGTCACAAAAAGCAATACTGTTCAAACTACAGAAGCTGGACTTGGAAACTCTCTGTCATCCACCATATTCACCAGACCTTGTACCAACTTTACTACTTCTTCCAGGTTTTGGACCACTTCTTACAAGGAAAAATATTCAATTCTCAACAAGCTGTAGAAAATGCCTTTTACGATTTCATCGCTACTCACTCTCCAGGCTTCTTCGCTGCTGGCATAAGCAAGCTACCGTTAAGATGGCAAAACTGTGTCAATAGTTTAGGCGCATACTAATTATACTGCTTCTTATTTGAGATATAATAAACTAAACTTTTGATTCTAAATCAGACATTTCATATTTAATGACCTAATATCTCTGTCATTACTTCTAGGAAATTCACTGTTTTACATTGAGAGTCACAAGCCACTTGCTACTGGAGTTCTGTATTTGGTATGAGGTTAGAAGCAAGGATCATTCCCTATGTGCACAGTCTCTCCTACCCCAACTCCTTTTATTGAGAAGACCATCCAGTCCCTGCTGTTCAGCAGTCTGACGTTTCTTGTCAACCAAGTGTCCAAAGACGTGGGCTCTCTTTGACACTACATTGCTCGATTTCTCTATGCTTGTTCCAGTATCAAACTGTCTCCACAATTGCAGGTTTATATATAATGAGTCACGATATTCAGTAGAATAACATCCTTCCCCTAGAGATTGTGTTAGTTTTCCCTTGCTTTCGCATTTCTACAAATAGCACATAATCATCTTGTTGATACTCATTAAAAAATTGTTAGAATTTTAACTGGGATCACACTGAATCTATGGATTTGGGGAAAAGTAAAGTGTTTATAATATTGAATCTTCAGTTGATGAACATGGTATATATCTTCCTACTCATTTCTTTTTAAATTTCTTTCAGTGTTTTAGTTTTTCGTATAGAGGTCTTACATATTTCTTGTTAGATTCACCTCTGGTGTTTGATGTTTTTGTGTTAATATAAATGGAATTTTTCAAAATTTCTCATTTTCTGACTTTTGCTAGTATACAGAATGATAATTGCATTGTGTATCTAGCTGCCTTGCTAATTTACTTATTAATTCTAATAATTTATCTGTAAATTTAAATTTCTATGTATCAACAAGGAGCAAGAGTTTTATTTCTTCCTTTCCAATGCTTATCGCTTTTTAAAACAGTAACTACTTAAATGCCATTAAATAGAGGTGAAAACACAAAATTATACTGTTATCAAAAGGCCACAATAATTTCCACTTCAAAATGGGAAAGATTTTAGCAAATGCATTCCTTAGAAAGAATTGCAATTTAGCCCAAGAATTTCACAGGTAGAGTTTCTGAGAAAAACATAGTTATCTTTGCAAGACCATATGTCGCAAATAAAAAGTATTAATAGTAATATTAAAAAGGAACATTCCCTTTTATGTAACACTAATATGGAATTACACTGAGAGATCAGAACATTCACCTCTGAGTGTCTGTTACGTGGCATGCAGTAGACATTTATTTCCATTTACAGAGTGGTTACCATTGGAGTAGATAACAGCAGAATGCCTACCTCAAATTGGTCTCAACTCAAATAAGCAAACAGTTGCTTTGGAAAACCTTGTTTCA